AGGCAACTGTAAAGTGTGCTACCCTAGTTTTGAAGATCTGTTTGAGATCGAGATTGCGGATCATCAATATCAGATCAATAGTATTTGAGCCATCAAAAATTCAGTATCGAATACTAGGGGGCCATCACAACCTAAGTCAAGAGCTAAAGTCCTGAGTTCGAGAGTGTGGAAGGCGTTCTTATTCGATATTAAAAGCCAAGGCTTGAACATTAAGATTAATTTTAAGGGTCAAATAGTCGAACTAACTGGGCCCACATAGCTCGTTCTCAGCATGGAAGATAGCTTTTGTACCATCGAGTATTTACACGACGTTCAAAGTAATAAAAGAAATTTGCCTTCTATGTTTCATTGGTTCACATTTGCATAAGCAATATTGTTGTTAAAAGTTACTTAGAAAAAATGTTGGGTTCAAAACCCTTAAGGCTACGGGCTTCCCCGAATTGGGGACTGCTACCCGACGATAAGATAGGGAATTTGGATTACTAAATCCCGGAGGCACCGAGCCAACTAGGAAGGGCCCAAACAACAAAGGCCACAACCAACTTAAATGGCTCGGAGACATTTGAGTCCATACTTGAAAAGTAAGGTCCTTACATATTTTAATATACTGAAAAGACTACTTCAGACCCGATCAAGTTACCCGGTCTTGAATTACGGCCATGAAAAGAGCCATTTTTGGCAAAAAATGATTGTGTCCTGTTAAAACGTTCAAAATTTTTAAAGACTTTGTTTCTATCGGGTCCTTTGAAGCTAGAGTAATTCGGAGTTATTACTTAGTCCAGGCCTCATCCGGGCTTTAGGGAACGAACAATTTAAACGATGCCAAATTCTATGCTAAGGCATCGACATCATTTTATAAGTCTTAGATACAAGCAGATACAAAAAAGTAAAAGACAATGCATAACTGAAGAATATTTTTTATATACATATGTACCAAAAGGTATTTATAGAGGCACTATAAAATGGCTCCAAAATGCAAAATACAAGGGAAAACAAAAAATAAACTAAGGCATTTCCCGCCTAGTCTTCATCGGAGCCCGACTCGCTGCCCCAACCATCGGGCTAGTATCTTGTTATGGCCTCGGTTTCAAGCCTCTTCGGTTCTTTGATATCGACCGCTAGGTCAAAACCCCGGGCATGGATCTCCTCAAGGATCTATCTCTGATATAGCCACTTCACATAATCGGCCTTCATTACTACACGCAACTACCTCTGCATCGTTCTTGTACTGGGCCAACATGTCTTGAACTTCGGAGGCTTCATTCCTACCGTCCTCCAATTTGGACTTGAGCGCGATATATTCTTGGCCGAGAGCATCCCGTTCTGTAACGGCTGAGTCGAGTTGTATCCGGAGCTCCTTATTTAGCCGAGACCACTTGTCGACTTTTCCCCTCATCATTCGGAGTTGCACTTTGGTCGATGCCAAATCATCTTTGGTGGCATCCCGCTTCGAGGCCAGGAGATCCATTTTTCTCCTTGGCTCCTCGGCTAGGGCTTTGACCTCATCCATCATGGCCCTAAGCTGGTCGTTCAGGTCTATCTTCTCTTAGACCTGCGAGGTTACGGCGTTAGCAATTGCGCTTAACCTCTCTTTATTAATATCAATCACTCTTACCTTTTCGGCCAGAAGGGCGTGTTCCCATTTCACATTCGAGGCCTCCTTTTGAGTTTTTTCTAGCTCAGCTTGGAGGACGGAGTGGTCCCTGAGGACCTCCTCTTTTTTCTCACAAAGAGCCATGTACATGTCCTTTTGCCGGACTTGCTCCTTAAGCTCGAGCTCAAGGTGGCTCACCTCCACCGAGACCGATGGAAGCTCTCATGATGAAGCACCAAGACCTGAGGCATAAAAATGGGCAAAATCGTTAAAATTCGCTAAGGCAAATGAACGCTTTAAAGATATGAGAAAAAAAAGATATATGTTGTTCGGTGCCTATTATGCTTCATTGAAGAGGCTCGGCATGTCCACCTTATTTATCTTCACTTGGTCCTCTTCAGTTACCAAGGAACGAAGGTAGCTGGACACACCGACCGACCTGGATAACTTCCTGGTATTCATCGGTACCTTAAATATGACTGTCTTCTTACGATCAGGGTCTGCGCTCGAGGCGGTGAACTACTTCACAAGCTTTGGGATCGAATTCGGCCCACTTGACCCCGACAACACATCCCTTTTCGGGATCACCAGGTGGCCAAAATCGGAGTAGTCTTCTAGCGCACCAACGTCCATACCTTCAAAAAACAGATTAAGTGCTTCATCCACGGCCAATGATGCCTCGGTCGACTTTTCTGTAATGACTTGAGCCTCAGTGAAAAGGGGCTCCATGTGGGACGATGACTCCGAAACATCAATGACGTCAGCAGCTTCTCTCAAAACTGGAGTGGCTTTTGGAGAGGCAGTAGCCACAGGCTCTTCCTCAGGTTCCCGAGCTAAAGTGGGTTTAGCCTTATGGTCACCTCCCTCTCATGTTGCCTGCTCTTGTGCAGCGTTGGCCCACTCATGGGCGACAAAATCCATGTCGTCATCTTCAGGTTAGTCCTTGAGCCGGTAAAGAGAATTGGGGTCTGGTACCCTGGCCCGAGTACTCTTTCTGACCCTAACCATAATCCTCTTTTTCTTGGCCTCGCCGGGAGCGTCCGAGGGGTCAGGAAACCTTTTCTTTTTTCTTGTCTTCTCCTCCTTCTTCGTAGCAGCCTCGACAATAGGTTGTACCGAAGTAAAGGGTTTTGCAGATGGGGACGAGGCCACAACCTTGGTAATTTCTCGAAGCTCGGTGGTCTTTGGCAAACCTATGAAAAGAAAACAGACTTAGTTGAGGTGACAATAAAATAAAAAGGAAATTCAATCAAGAGAAGAAGGACACTCACCATGGAAACGAGCCTCCCATTTGCCCTTAGAAAATTTGCGCTACTCACGCTCGTAGTATATCAATTATTTGTAGATTCCCTCGACCCACTCCTTGAAACGGGGGACTACGTTGGGGATGCGGGCGACTAGTACATATTAGAAAAGACGGGTGATGAGAAAGAAGAATAAATTCAAAGGGTCATTTTGACAACTTTAAAGGGGATGAACTTACGTGTTTAGTTCCACTTCTCAAGGAACGATAGGAACTTGGAGGGGATGAGATCTTCGGTATTTATCCGAACAAATCTCCCCTGCCAGCCTTAGTCCCTATCCTCGTCGATGCTCGAGAAGGGAGCCTTCTTTGCCTGTCAGGCAAGCTTTATTAACCCCCTCGAAAGATTCAGAGGCTGTAAACACGGAGCAGATAGTCGATCGTGAATCGGGACTCCTCCGTGTTGTTGAACAAATGGTGGAGGAGGGCCACGAACCTCCAAAAGGATGGTGAATCTGCCTAAGGCATACCTCGTACCTCTTACAAAAGTCGAGGACCACCGTATCCATCGGGCCAAGCGTGAAGGGGTACGTGTAGACACTTAAGTACCCCTCCACGTGTGTTGTGATGTCCTCATCAGGACGGGGGATGACTACTTCTTTTCCTTCCCACTTTCAATCTTCCCTGACATCCGAGAGCATGTCTTCAGTAATGGAGCATATATACCTCCACGCCTCCTTACCTCGATCCCCATATTTGGAGGTTTTTTTGACCTTAAAGTCGTTATCTATGGAGCAACCTCCAAGGATAAAGGTCTTTAAGAGGAGGTTCCGGAGCTGATGCCGAAAGGGTCTTTTCGGTATTTGCGGCCGGAATAGAGGTTGAAGGACCAGTGTTTTGAGGCACCGATTTTGAGATTTTTGCCATCTTTATCTAAAAACATGAAGGTTTGAATATGGACATGAAGATTTGATGATATAGCTTGAAAATTTAAAGGCAAAGTATGAAAATTTGAAGAATGAAGATGAAGATGCAAAGAACAATTTGTGAAAATCTGAGGAAATAATGAACAAATAAATAATTGCAGGGTAACTTAAAAAGGTTCGAAATGGAAGGTAAAAAGGTGAAAAAAGGGAACCAGAGCTTTTATAGGAAAGGAATAACGAATGCGTGATGTTTTGCATTCAATGCCCACCGAGGATGATCAACCAACGACTGACACGTGTCCGAAGTCAGAACGACGCGACTGATGTGATATTTCGTTGACTTGTCAACTCGCTTGCGGCTTACAGAGGAAGGAGCCGGGGCATTTAATCACTTATTGTCATTCCTATAAATCTGCTCTCCTAAAAGTGAGGGGACTATCTATGTACGGATAAAATCGGGGATAAAGTTACTCCCGATTTTCCTATAAAGAAACGAGAGGACAATTTATCTGATATGACCTCGGGTAAAATCGAGGGCTCCCATAGATCAGAGTCCAGGGAGGATAAATGATATGCCAAGAACCAGACACGGCCAAATATTGAATGAATCGAGTTTGACCAAAGTAAAGAACCGGGACTAGAGGAAAGACGATTTGAAATAACATACGAGGGGTCGAAATATCCGTCCTTAATGGGATATTACAGAGAAAATTTTGCCCGGTATCAACGGCCTATCACGATTTACCAGAAGAAAAAGATTTTTATCTTACTTAGACTTGTACTAGGATTGAAACTCCACTACTATATAAAGGGGGAAACTTTTTATTTTAAGGATCACTGTAAGCACGCATATCAAAGCAATAAAGTTAATTTTTATTCTCTAATCACTATTTAAAAGTGTTCTTTAGCTGCTTGTTCATTTAGTTGCAACTGAGCCTATTTCGTAGGTTTAATTGAATCTAAATTGCGGTGTTCATCGTACAAGGCAGGCCTAGTTATTCATCGCGTCTGGTTTGATCATTGTATTTTTCTTCAATTCAATTATTTGTTGTTCTTAGATCATTCGTGTTAAATTAAATCATATGTCCTTTAAACCTTGTATTAGTTCAATTGTTACTTGTTTTTAGGATAAACAATAGGTACAAGTGTCTTTTTAAATTTAAATATAATATTTATGTAATGTTTAAATCAAACCGAAAGCAAAAGCCTTAAAACTTAAAAATAAATAAAAAAATCTGAATGTAACGCATCACCTTCCCGGCTTTGGCCTTTGTCAGGTAATAACCTTACGCCATCCCTTTCCTCTGATCTTTCCAGCAATCCTTCTTCCGATCTGGCCTTAATCTGTTTTGTCGCCTCCTCTCAAATGGCGCGGGCGCTCTTAACTCACAATCTCCCTATCCTAATTTCCTTCATATGTCTGCTATTCATTCATCACGTCGTCGTTTCTAATGGAATTTCAGACGTTTCAAATGAAAGCTTTGTTTTTCTCCCCTCACCTAATAGCACCAACGACGGGGATCGCAGTACCATGTTTCTCCCGCTTTTTCCTCCTAAAGAAATCTCCCGACCACGCGATGAACAACTCTCCCGTCGACACCTCCAGAAAAGCCCTTCAAGTGCTCGTATGCCTCTCCACGACGATCTCCTCCTTAACGGGTCAGAAACTTGTATCCGAATTCCTTATTATGAATGGATATCCGCCTATCTCTCTCTGTTTTAAGTTAATTTTTAAATTGAGAGGATGCAGATATTATACGACTCGTCTTTGGATCGGAACTCCACCCCAGAGTTTTGCTCTTATAGTTGATACTGGCAGTACCGTTACCTATGTCCCTTGCTCTACCTGTGAACAGTGTGGCAACCATCAGGTTCCTTCATTTCTCAGCTACATTCTCTCTTTTAATCATCTAGTTACTATATTTATTTTACTTCCACAAAAGTATAGTATTAATCTAAAGTACCCAATGTTAGGTTATGAGTCAGGAGAAGCTTCTATTGGACATAAAACCTCTGCTGAATTCAAGCTTAATATACTATTAACCCTTGTTTTCGTTACCATCATTTGAGAAAGAGATAATGGAAAAAGAGAAACCTCAAGCTTCAGATATCTTACCATTCCGTTTACAGCACTGGCTACTGAGTAATGAATAAACAAAAGGAAGATTGGTTAGTTTTGCGCTAGGTTTTAGTGTTAATGGAATTTTTGTTCTTTGGGACAGATTTTGATTAGTGTTGGTCTATTAGGGCTTATTGTGGTTTCATTCTTTGTTTACGTTGTGTGTGGGTGGGGGAGGGGTGGGGTTGTATTGGAGCATTGTACAACAACAACGACCCAGTAAAGTCCCACTAAGTGGGGTCTGGGGAGGGTAGTGTATACGCAGACCTTACCCCTACCCGATAGGGCAGAGAGGCTGTTTCCGATAGACCCTCGGCTCAGGAAGATGAAAATAAAAAAGAAAATAAGAAAAGACAATTCATCAATAACGTCACCATAACCATAGAAATAATGACATCATCCTAAAAACCATAAAATAGATGACATGCAATAATCATAACCCACAACTAAGGTCTAGAGCTATGGAAAACAGTAAGGTTAGTGTGAACTCTACATTAACCACAAGCCTGTCTAGGACCAACCTACTCAAACTCGCTTCACCCCCGGAATGGAGGAGGAGAAGCTCGACTACCACCCTATCCTACAACCCTAATGCTCGACCTCCAAACCTTCCTATCAAGGGCCATGTCCTCGGAAATCTGCAATCGTGCCAGGTCCTGCCTGATCACCTCTCCCCAATACTTCTTAGGCCGTCCTCTACCTCTTCTCGAACCCACTAAAGCCAGCAGCTCACACCTCCTCACCGGAGCATCCAGGCTTCTCCTCCGCACGTGCCCGAACCATCTGAGCCTCGCTTCCCGCATCTTGTCTTCCACAGGGGCCACACCCACTTTCTCCCGAATATCGTCATTCCTAATCTTATCTATCCTAGTGTGCCCGCACATCCACCTCAGCATCCTCATCTCAGCTACCTTCATCTTCTGGATATGAGAGTTCTTAACTGGCCAGCACTCTGCCCCATACAACATGGCCGGTCTAACCACCGCCCTATAAAACTTACCTTTGAGTATTGGTGACACTTTCTTGTCACATAAGACTCCAGATGCTAGCCTCCATTTCGTCTACCCCACTCCTATGCGGTGAGTGACGTCCTCGTTAATCTCTCCATCCCCTTGAATAACCGATCCAAGGTACTTGAAACTACCTCTCTTGGGGACAACCTGTGATCCAAGCCTCACATCCATGCCTACTTCCCTCGACTCGGCGCTGAACTAACACTCCAGGTACTCCGTCTTAGTCCTGCTCAATTTGAAACCCTTAGACTCGAGAGCCTGTCTCCAAACCTCCAACCTCTCATTAACACCGTCCCGCGTCTCATCAATCAGTACTATGTCATCAGCGAATAACATACACCATGGCACTTCCCCTTGAATATGGTGTGTTAGTGCATCCATTACTAAGGCAAATAAGAACGGGCTACGCGCTGATCCTTGGTGTAACCCCATAACAACCGAAAAATACTCTGAGTCGCCTCTCACAGTCCTTACCCTAGTCTTAGCTCCATCATACATGTTCTTGATCGCTCTAACATAAGCTACCGGCACACCTTTTACCTCCATAGCACCTCTCTAGGGACCTTGTCATACGCTTTCTCTAAGTCAATAAACACCATGTGCAGATCTTTCTTCCTATCCCTGTACTGTTCCACCAACCTCCTAATAAGATGGATAGCTTCCGTGGTCGAGCG